ATGGGACACATTGGAATAGACCGCTTGCAATGAATGGTTACAAAAAGACAGCTCCAGGACATAGACACCCTTACTGGAACCCCGGAGTTTTGTGAACCTTGTGCTTTAGGAAAGATGAAGAAATTACCTTTCAAGTCCATGGGAGGAAACCAAGCCAAGTGCCCCATACAAATTGTGCACACAGATGTTGGAGGACCAATCAAACCAACTTCCAGGGAGGGTTTTCGGTACTGGATTATCATTGTAGATGATTTCTCCAAATTTCCATGGATATATTTCCTAAAACATAAAAGTGAAGCACTGGAACGATACAAGCAATGGAAAGAAGATGTCCAAACATTCTTCCGGACTCATTTGGGAGAAGAAAACTTCACTTCACTATACACAGAATTCCTCCGGAGCGATGGGGGAGGAGAATATACTGGCAATGCATTCAAAAATCAACTCCGAGGAGATGGTGTCATCCAAGAAACTACAGCTGCAGATACTCCGGAACAAAATGGCATTGCAGAACGCATGAATCAGACATTGGCTACATTAGCAACCACTATGCTCCATGATTCCAAGCTCCCAAAGTCATTTTGGGTAGATGCCATGCCAACAGCTGCATATATCACAGTACGCAGCCCAGCATCAGGACTCCATGGAAAGACCCCATATGAAATACTGTTTAAAAGGAGAGTTGATCCAACTTTGTTTCACCCTTTCGGATGCCAAGCATATGCCTTGATTCCGAAAGACAAAAGGCAAGGGAAGTTTTACTCCAAGGGGCGCAAAGCCATAATGATTGGCTACACACATGGAAAGCAAGCCTACAAACTCCTAGACACTGAAAAACGGACTGTGTTTTCCAGTCGGCATGTCATATTCAATGAATCCGGAAAGGTACAAAAGGACGACACTGCTCCCTGGAACACAGACACTAGCACAGATCAGTGGGAGGGACTCATTCCAGAGAATGCTCACTATCCAGACCAAAAAACATTGGAGGATGATGATCCTGACCCTCGGATCCGAGATCCAAATGAATTACAAATAGAACCATATCAGCATGAAGATGTTCCGAGAGCAGTGGGGCAATACCTCCGTGGAGACGTTCCGAGAGCAGTAGGAGCACCTGATCAGCTAAGACATCCTCCACAACAGTCTCTACAACCAAGACCTGAACACTGGCCATCTTCAGAACGGAAAGCCAAAGTAGAGTTACAGTCAGTGGGAGGACAGCCCCACAACATACAGCCAGCTGATGTGGAAAAAGTCTGAATACAGCTAGACAGCCTGTCCATTGGATCAGCTTCTGGAAGGCATACAACACCTCCAAGGAGTCATCCAACACCTCTGAGGAGTGATTCAACACCTTCAGGAGTGAGTGGGGCAACAAATACACAAATGCTGCTACTCCTTGGAGTACCTACACAAGTTCCTAAAAGAGCAGTCATGCCTGCTGAAGTCCTAGGAGTATGCAGAAGCAGTTGCCAGACCCGTCCTGCAGACAAAAACTGAGATTATCAAAGGACTCTAGATGAGGAACAGTCTCGAAAAGAGCAGCATGACAACTCCATGGAGAAACCTAACACTCCTGGGGTTTATGAAGAAACATCTGATACAGAGGAGACATTCTTTGCTGGAATAGCAAGTACTGGTCCATCTAACACAGACCTTCCAAGGACACTAAAGGAAGCCTTATCATGTCTGGATGGAGAATTATGGAAGTCTGCCTTGGAGGAGGAACTCCTAAGTCTCAATACTAATGCAGTATATGACACTGTTCCACTTCCAAAGGGAGTGAAACCCATCACATCAAAACCTGTGTTCCGGATCAAGTTTGATTAAAACGGAAACATTGAGAGATACAAACTCCGGATTGTTGCACAAGGTTTTACTCAAAGGGAGGGGATTGATTACCAGGAGGTTTTTGCTCCGGTTGCAAACTTAGAGTCAATCCAAATTATTCTAGCCCTGGCAGCAAAGTACGACCTAGAACTTGATCAAATGGACGTATCCACAGCTTATCTCAATGGAGAACTTGAAGAAGAACTGTACATGCTTCCTCCAGGGGGTGTTCCTATCCAACCTGGATACTGTTGGAGATTGAAGAAATCCATCTACGGGTTAAAACAAGCTGGTCGTACATGGAACAAAACTTTTGATCGCAAGCTCCAGGAGCTCGGTTTCACAAGACTAAATGCAGAAACATGTCTCTATGTATTCCGGGACAACAAACAAATATGCCTTGTTATTGTCTATGTAGATGACCTCCTCCTAGGAGCTTCATCCCGAAAATTCATGGATATCACAAAAGCCAAACTCAAATACATATTCAAAATTCAGGACCTTGGAGAAGCAAAATACATCCTCGGAATAGAAATCCAACATGATCGTTCAAACAAAACAATATCCCTATTGCAACGCCAATACATTAACACAGTCCTGGAGCGTACTGGAATGAAGAACTGCAAACCAGTGTGGACACCAATGGCCCATGGATCATAACTCCTTGCAAATGCTCCAGGGGAAGATATTGTGTAACACGAGATGCATATTGAAGGGCGTCAAGTGTCATACCTCTCAATTGTAGGCTCCCTCATGTATGCCATGCTCGGAACCTGCCCAGACATTGCCTACGTTGTTGGAATACTAAGCAGACATAGCTCAGCTCCAAGGAGCCATCACTGGGAAGCTGCAAAATGTGTCCTCCAATATCTGAAAGCAACCAGGGACATAGAACTACAATATGATGGCACAGATGTCTCCATGGACATGGATTTCTATGGATATTCAGATGCAGATTGGTCTGGAGACCCAAACACATCTCAATCAACATCAGGGTTTGTCTTTATCACCATCCGAGGAGCAATCTCCTGGACAAGCAAAAGACAAAGCATGGTAGCTCTATCCTCCATGGAGTCAGAGTACATTGGATTGAGCAATGCTGGACAACACCTTGCATGGCTTCAGACATTTTTTGAAGAAATTGGACATGCTCAAAATGGACCTACAACATTGCACTGTGACAATCTATTAATCTTACACGAGATCCACAGTTCCGTGCTCGCACAAAACACATTCAACGGAAATATCATTTTATCCGAGATGACTTAGTATCAAAGGGAGAGGCAGTAATCAGATACGTTCCTACAGGAGATATGGTTGCAGACATTCTCACTAAACCCCTCACTCATGAAAAACACTGGAAATTCTCTAAAGCTATGGGACTACGGTTGCACTCGAGTGGGAGTGACAAAACCGGATAAACCCGGTCTCTGCCGAAGCAGCCATTGTTCTCCATGGAGCATAGCCACCACTCTGTGGAGTAACCATTGTTCTCCTAGGAGCACAATTGTACTCCTAGGAGTCATTATACTGTAGCGAGTAGCACCTCCGACTATAAGTAGTAGGAGGTTTAGTATAGGAATACCTCAGTTGTTTCTATAGCCTCTTGGGCAGCGGCTGAGGTATGTTACATTACATTTATTAGAGATCACCTTAAACTAACATCTATTGTAGTTTCACTTAGGTAAATAATAAGTCGTTTCTATAGCCTCTTGGGCAGCGGCTGAGTTTCACTTAGTTTTATTAACATTGCTGTTAGAAATACAAGTGCAAGCGTCCACGAAATAGAGAGGTGGCGCGAGATGTTGGAGCAATGACCGAACTAGGCAGGCCTAGTAAATGGAATGGTCCGTGCGCCATCAGATGGCAATTTTTCGTTTTGTTTCCGTTAGCTGATATATAGCTCTTTTTCATCGACAAGACACCTCAGAGTTTTCCGTCCAACTCTGAGGTGAGACATCTTCTATTCTATGTAGTTTCAGCTAGCTCACATTACTTCCTCATGTAGTCTTTTACGTTCTGCTAGGTGCTTACAGTTTTATATATACCTCAGAGTTTTCCGTCCAACTCTGAGTCTTTTACGTTCTGCTAGACAAAAATTGCTCCTACTTTCCTCGTTACATTCTTAGTAAGCTGCGCAGGTTCATATGCAGGCTCTACTCTCGCAAACTACTCTGCAGGGCTGAGAGCATGGCATTTACTACACGGCTTCACATGGCTGATTAATAGAGAAGAACTCAAAGCCATCCTCGAAGGTGCACGCAGACTAGCCCCATTGTCTTCGAAACGGCCAAAAAGAACTCCCATTACCCCAGACATCATACTCATCATAAGAGCAGAGTTGAACCTGCAGGAACCTCGGGACGCTGCAATATACGCCTGTCTGACGACGGCATTTTACAGTATAGCACACTTGGGAGAACTCACAGTGCCCGCTATCAAAGATTTCGACCAGACACGTTAAGCGATCAGACGTTTCGGAAACGACAGATAGAAACGGACTTCTAGTCAAGAAAATCCACTTTCCCGCGACAAAAACCTCACCAACCACTAGTGAGGACATACAATGGGCCACGCAAGCAGGACTTACAGACCCACGAGCCGCCTTGGAGAACTACTTATGCATAAACGAGGCGGACGAAAATCAGCACCTTTTCGCGTGGAAACACAAGAACGGGATAAGACCTCTATTCAAGAAGGAATTCACAAAGCGGCTAGCTTTAATTTTCAATGCGAGAAACCTGACTGAAGTTAAAGGTCACAGCATTCGCATCGGCGGTACCTTGGAGTATTTATTGAGAGGAGTCCCTTGTAGTAAAAACCATGGGCCGCTGGTCAAGCGAAGCATTCACACTTTACCTCAAGGAGCATGCCACTATTTTGGCCCCTTACCTCCAAGATTCGTCCTCACTCGAATCGTTCACCAGGTACACCATGCCTCCAGTTAGATAAGCAGTACAATGTGATAGTAAGTTTATTTATACTCCTAAAAATTTGGTCCGAGCTGCGCCTTATGCGTCGTTTCATCACTCCTAGTATTTGGGACACAGCTCACCTCGATACTCTTTTTCAAGGCATGTTTCGAATCGAAAAACCCTCCGTGTTTTTGCCCAACTTCGCTAACATCAAACAACTTATTATCACAGTCTTTCTGATTTATTTTCAAAGTTACAAAGCTGATCAGAACGCCAATACACATAGACGGATCACAGTACCATATGCGAACTCGGAACACGAAGACGAACACTCTGAACGACCAAGTTTTGTCCACGGTGCCCCTCATAGTCGTGGCACAAGTTTCAGGTTTGAGAAAGTGGATTCAATTGATCGGAGGCTCAAATATCCATTCCGAGTTCGCTCCTTCATTCTTCTCTTTGCGGACCAAGTGTGGCAGTCAGTACTCGATGGTTTGCCAGTTGATTGTGGGTTGGAGTAAGGCTTGAAGTCTGGCTGTAGCTCTAGATACCCACCAAGCAGTATCACGAAAACCATCAAGACTGCGGCCACCAACAACAAATGATGCACCAACTTGAACGCTCAGTTGACATGAACGGATCATGGAAACAAGATATATTGATGAAGCCTTGATGCAAGGATAAACTTAGATTCACTAGCACATTCTGCAGATGCTCCGATGGGTTACAGATCATATCAAGAATAGCTCAAATGTGTATAAGTTCTCAGCAGTTGTTCAGAATCGCCGTTTTCTCTTCCATCTAAACGTGTCTTCTTTTTGTCAGAACGCATCATGCATCCACACAAAGGACTGGAGGTTCATGCATCATGGGAGATTGCCAATATTCTTCAAATAACGAGGTTTTGTCAATGTGAAGTGACTATAATTGAATTTTCGAGTATTATTGACGTTTCTTTGTGGGATCTTAGTATCTGCCGCTGTAGTTGCTCTATACGATCACGGTACGTTTTTTTTTGTTGGAGTGACACGAAAGTATCTCTCATACAGTGCGATGAATACTCTTTAACTATAGCACTTTTAATGCAGCGTGAAGTGTGTGACAATTTTTTTTGGTTCTATGCACTCTCATGTTTTTTATCCAGATGGATTTGATATGGGTGCGTCCAAGTGCAACAATATACCTTTCGGGCCATGCTGGTACTCAGTCTTTCCATCTTTGTTGCACTGCACAAACTTCAGAGAAGACAGTGGTCTTTAATAACATTTTTATACGTTGTGGTAGGCATATTGTGGTCTAAAGTTTCATGTAGCTCACAAACTGTCTCGGTTTGCAGATCCGATATGCCGGTGACGTTGTGCTTGTGTAGGTTCATCGTTAAAATCTGCGATATCTCATCTCTCATCTCTTGTCACCATTTATCCAGTGCGGGAGCCGTGTGTATGTCGTTATACTATGTACACTCCTACGGATAATAACCCCTCACAGTTTTTGTTAGCACTTCGATGTCAGATGCAGTATGTTATTTCTTTACTTTGGAGCAGACACTAGGCTGATGGTGACATACAGCGGTATATTTTGTATATTTACTCCAATGGGTGAGGTAGCTAACATTGATAATATACCCCTCGACTACGGTCTAAAAAAAGCTGTCAGTACATTCATTTTAACTGCGTTCTTGAAATATTTTACGTGGTGTTTGCAAGGTCGCGTAGGAATTCAACTGCAAATCTGGGGCTCGCTTGTTTTCCTGTTGGCCATGCAAGGTCTGTTTGTCTCATTTGATTCTTCGTTATATCTGTAACCTCATAATGATATACTGACTCTCTCTCAGCTACATTTATCCTACGTGTTTATGCCATGTACCGGCAGTCAAAAAAAATTATTTTCTTCCTGTCTTTTCTGTTACTGGTTGAAGGAATTATCGGATCGATAATAATAGGGACCGGTTCACATTATCACGGGCCAGTGAAAAGTAAGTAGTGCTGGAGTAGTTCTAGCTACGTATGTGAAAACTAATACTATTTGACATTCGCCTTTTGTTTCTAGTCGTCTCAGAGCCCATACCGGGGGTCCACATGTGTTCTCTGAAGGGCATAGAGAGTACAGAGACCGTAGGGCCATACACCACCATCATAGGCTTTGAATGCATTATATTTGCCCTCACTGCTTGGGCTAGCTTTCGTCACGCGCGGCAGCAGCACGAAGCCACAGGTAGATGGAAAATCAGTGCTGTGATGATGGCCGTCGTCAAGGATAGTGCTTACTCCTTTCCTTTGTACGTCAATCAATGAGAGGCGAGTCGGCTTCGTGCTAATGTTTACTTTTTTGAAAGAGTGGTAGCATCGAGTGCAATTGAAATGGCCCTGGACCTTGTGATTCCGGTATGTATGTACCTACTTAGATGGACAACTGTCTGACTTTGATCTCAATTTTTGTAGGAGTTGTACTTGGGGATGCTGACTAGTACTTCCAACTCCTTTTTAGTGATTCTGAGTACACGCATGGTTATCAATCTCCGGGAGTCATTTTCAACTTCTCCTATAGCACGGGTAGATGGTATGGCTCTCGATACATTTCCCACAAGTTCTCAAGCGAGCGCAGACGACGCAGTGTTTAGGACAACATTACAATTTACAAGTGTACATTCTCCAGCAGAGTCTGCTGGCAACATTGTTGCCTAGCTTTATGTTCCCAGTCCTATTGGCCTACAGTACACATCCTCTCCAATTTCTCAGTTAAAACATGTATATTATATATAGTGCAAGCTTTTTGTATGGATATGATATTGTTCATCCCGCTTTCATGCTCGAGCCGGTTTCCTGCGCAACTCTGGGTGTGTGGCTTCAGAGCTCATCTTGAGCTTCATTTCCTAACGCAACGAGTTACCCTGTCACTTCTCACCTGATATTGGCAATGCTGGGATGTTTGCGCCCAGAAGTAGATTCTGGCTCTTCTGGACAGAGTCTGCACTCGACCACGCAGAAATTATTGACCGACAGATATAAGCTTAGTTCAGTTAGCAATGATAGTTCCTCGTTTATATGGATAATGCATGATGCTATAGTTTGATAGATAAATTGGAATGATAGTAGTATGATATACGCATTGTCCGCCCATTGACAGTGTTAATTTAGTAAAGAATGACCCTGAAAAATATCCTCCTTGAAAAGTTCCTCCCTGCTACAGACCAAAGCTGGTGTCTATGAAGTATGCAATATAGCAAAAGTCCCTGAAATAGATAAAATATAACCAAAGTTCGCAGTTCCAGTCTTCTAATATATATGGACGAAACTAGATCATAAAAAAATATTAGAGTGTATAGATGAGGACCGAACGAAGAAACGCACCAAAGACATGCCAGTAACTCTAGATGGCACACATAACATCACAAACATCAGGCAATCTTCGAAACGATAGTTCCTCCATGCTCCAAACCCCCACCTGGTACGAACACAGCAGGGGTCCTCTCAAACGGTACAACCTTTTTTACCGTCCCATCTTCCCAATTGCTACACGCATCATACACGGCTCGGCCCTTTCCTTTTGACGAAACCACAGAAAAATCACTTGGCCCGACATATGGCTTCACTCCCTCCTGTGCCGCCTGCCTCAAAGCAGCCCCGAGCGAATTACATACGTCGTTTCCCTCCCAATCAACATCAGATACGATGCTTACCCACGCATAGTTCACCTGGCGTGCTTTCATGCGGGCTTTCCTCGCCTTCTTTCCTTTTTCTTTAGATTTGTCACTAGGTAGGGAGAGGGTCTCCGCGTCGGCCCACTGAACATGCCCAACCTCGGTTTTGCTTCCGCCACCTCCACCTCGCAAAGACCGCACACCGGCGCGAAAATGGTCTCCTGCAGTAGGAATAATACGCTCAGGCGTATCACCCACCAACGTCGTGAACTGCGCCTCCAGGCCATCCCTGTCCCTATCGTCCCCGTCAGATCCTGATTCGCCGCGTTCACGCACCGGAAGACTTAATAGGGCTCGTCCGGCCTCCCACACTTCGCGGCCGCCGATAGTATCGATAATAGCATCAAATCTGACGTGTAATTGGCCGAGATAACAGAGAAGGGCCGCTGCAGAAGCTTGTTCAGATGTATATGGTGGCAAAGGGAGTGCTGTATATGTGTATGGACGAGGGAGTATATGTTGGTGCATTGATGAAGAAGGATGTGAGTTGGAAGATAGCGGGCCGTTAGAGGAAGACAGCGCATGTGAGTAAGGTGATGAGATTGGCGAGGACGATCCAGAAGACGAACGCGAGAATAAAGATGGGGAGGGGTTAGGCGAGTGTGTGAACGAAGATGATGAAGAAAATGGGTAACGGATCGAAGCAGATGATGACGAGGCGCGAAATCTAGGGACCGATGAAGACGATGAACGTGGTAGAGAGGGAAAAGATATCGTAGGCACGAAGAGGACTTGTTCTGCACCCCATCCGCGCAGGCGATCTTCGATACGCTTAAGTATAACCCTCCGCCTCTCCAGCTCTTTTTCATGGTCACCATTTAGAACCTTGCTCTCTTCAGCAACTCCGCTTTCATCGTCGTCTTCGCATTGACTCCACTTCGCGAGAGGTGATAGGGGAGGACCAGGCAATTCAAATGGCACAGGCACATGTGCCCAAACTGACCACCCTGCTTTTACAAGCATTTGTACAGCCAACGCACCTGAGCCATCGTGTGCCCTAAGGACGAGCACACGAGGACGAGCTTCCGCAGCATTGTCGTGTTGCTTGTATTCATTAACTCCTACGCCGTATGGGTGAGGATCGCCTTGCACGCGATGATGGGCTTGGTCGGACACATTCTCTGTCTCAGAATCTTCCTCACTACTACTCTCCCGACCCAAAGGTGAACGAGCCATATCAAAACGGCGCGGGGTTTCATGCACCATTGATCTAGGTCGCACGGTACTACTACTGGCACTGCTTGATACGGGCTTGGCCATTGCTTGGGTGATCGTTCCCAATGTACGCACAGCGCGGTAAGCAGGGACTCCACATAATGGAAGCAGAGCGAGTTCTTCGACTGTCAGTCCACTATGGTTAGGCTTGGTATCTATTCCACAGCCTGTGCCTTCATTACCGGGCAGAAATATAGACGAGATGTGCTGCCTGGCCTCTGGACTACTGGACGATGATATATGTTGAGAATGACGTGAGCTTACTGGAAAGGAAGAGGTAGATGGAGGCTGCATAGTCGGCGAGATAACGGGATGTGGTATCCGGTGAACGCGATGCCGATCAACGAGGATGAATTCTGCGAGTGCACCACACTGTTGGTAACCCATTAGCAAATAGATACGTACGAGAAAGCGATTGTAAATCATGCGATAGAAAAATAAGACCCACCTTCCCAACTCCTAGAAGCCCCACTACCCAGTCCCCTTTCTTGGCGGTCTCCTCACGTACCTCCCATCCCACTTCCAAGACACGTCCTACAAACGAACGCCCCGGAATATAGCCCACTGGTGCAGGCTTTATTTTTTCTTTATCCTTGTCTCGTGTTTTTGATCCATCTGCTTTATCTATCCAATCCTCGCTATCGCGAGAAGAAAAAGCGTTCACGCCACCGGAATCCATCTGCACACCTACTAGTCTTCCATCCACACCATCCAATCCCACCGCCCATACCTGAACTAATACAGAGCCCGCACCGACATAAACAGGCGGGGCACGGTATGACGTGAAACCTAAAGGTGTTTCATCATCTCTTCGTCCTTTTGTGCTGCCGCTTCTGACTAGCGTAGGATTGGGTCCAACCATAGAATTTCGATTAATTTTGGCTTTCCCCTTACTCTTGTTGTTCTTGTCTTTACCGAACCAGCCAGTACCAAACAGACTTCCCCTTTTCCCACCGTCAGACAACGAAGAAGATCCTGCCCTCAAACCCATAGAGGAGGAATACGAGGTAGCAGCTGCGATGCCTCTGACGACTTCCACACTCGCCATCGTGGTCTGAGCAAGACCAGCACGTGTCAGATCAACCTCATCGCCCATTCCTAACCCCACACTGATTCCTACACTCAACGAACCATCTGCGCCACTTCCCCCGATTTTCCCTCCCTTCCCTTTCCACCACCTCCACGACCCGTTCCTGGTTGAATTAGAACGAGGCCCAGATCCATTGGGTATAGCCCGAGGAAGAACCAGCCCGGTAAATCCTCGGGTTCCGCTCGATGGTAATGCGTCATCCTGACTTGCTCCATCTAGATGAGGATGCGCAGCAAGCGCGTCAGAAACGGACATTGGAGCTGTGGTATATGGAGAGCGTGTCGTCACACTTGTAGATATCGATGGTGATGAGAAGCGCGAGACAGATGGGTATTTAGTGTTGGATGGTCCGGAAGATGAATTGAACGCCTGAGATGGTGACTGGGATGGCCCAGATGGGGATACCGACTTCTGTGAGCGAGATAAAGAATTGGCCCGTGGTGGACTATTAGAACTTGAAGGAAAGGACAGGCTTCGCCTTCGAGCAACCTTCGATGGTGCCGGTGCAATCTCAACGCTTCGTGGGCTACCGGACATACTCTCAGGTCGTTTGCGAAAAGCATGCGACGACGGATGCGATAATGACTGCGAACGCTTGTGATCCACACTTCCTCGAATACCGTTCGCGTGTAAATTAACACTATCCAAAGGCCCTGGGTCAGACACATCAGCATCAAGGTCTTCTTCGACTTCGAGGAGGACGGTCATGCCCACAAGCGTGCGCGCAGATTTACTGGCTGGTTTAGTTTTGGGTATGCGAGAGCGTGGATGCGGTCGAGTGGAGGAAGTGGTAGGAGTGGGAGCAGGTGTGGCAGGCGCATTGTGCAAAGCTAACATCTGTTGCGAGCTTGATGGGGACGACGGCGCGCTCCTGCTGCTGGCAGGTGTCGGGGTGGGCCCAGACATCAATACAGAGGTTGAAGATGATGCTGATCTTACAGAAATGGAAGAGGAGCCTGTTTTCTTCTTATCCTTCCCCTTACTCTTTACGCTATTGCTAGATTTAGATGGAGCCACAAGCCATCTTACGTCTTTCGCCCAGTCCTCATCCGTATAAGTTGTCTTACGTGCATGCGGAACTTGTGCACGTTTCGGGTGTGGTGGACGTAATATAGAAACATGGCTGGTGCTAGTACTCAAAGTCGCAAGAGGAGCCATAGCAGAAGCAGAAACAATGGTTGTGGTGTGCCCTGAGGTTGTGGCAGAATATGGTTCACTACTAGGAGGGAGCGAGGCCGTAGATGAAGATGCGGAGGCGGAAACAGAATTAGGTGAGGATGATGGAGGTGAAGGAGTGTGGGTGCGTGATCTGGAGGGAGAGTCGATGTACGCCTGGACCGGTGAGCCAGGTGATGATAAAGAGTGTATTGGTGATGCAGCGGGAGTGAAGAATACGTCGTCCTCACCTTCTTCACCAGGAACTAGACTTGCGTTATTTGATGGTGGGGAAGAAAACGCAGGCTGTTCGTGGCTTGTGGTCTCGATAACGCGTTCAATGTTGAAAGGGCGTATATTTGTAGAAAGGGCTATGTCAGAATCATGGGTGTATTGTTCATCCTCCTTGGGAGTTGGGCTTCGAGCCTGGAAAAAGAATGCCGAAACACACATGGGGCGAGATAAGCATCGGCTGACCGTTCATTATTCTATCTTTAAATACATGAGTACACGCTCACCTTGTGGTCTTCCTCGTTGTTACTGTCATTGCTGAGTTCGCCGTTATTGCCCTCGTCGTGTTCGTCGTCTGGTCTGTGCTCAGGCTCACCGTGCTGGGGCTCTTCATGGGTGAGTTCAGCGGCTATGCGGAGCAGCTCATTCCTTGTGGAATGGAAATCCCTTACACGGTTTGTCGAGCTCACGGTGACCGTCGCCGTCCTGGTTGCTGTTGTTACTGTCGTCGTCGCTGTGCTCGTCGATGCCGCTGCATAACGCTGGGACGGTCTCCCCAACGCTTTCTGGAGCAGAGTCGGTTTCGCCATGCACACGGGGCCTTGCTATTAATGATTCTGAATTTGGACCAATTCTCATTTTATTTATTTGTTCAGCCACAACACCACGCCTTTCACTGACGTCATCGTAGTCTAGCCTTCCATTTACGGAAAACTTCTATTTATGGCTTCTTGCCTTTTTGGGTGCCCGACGTTTCGAGTACGCGGGCGGTGCAGCCGCGAACGACACTGCCCGCTTACGTTTGGGCGCGGGCGTCGGTTCTAGCAGCGGCGGCGCTTCTTCGTCGTCGTCGTCCTCTTCGACATCGTCTTGCTCCTCATCCTCGTTGTCGTCATCATCCCCGCCCTCATCCTCGCTCTCCTCATCCTCGCTCTCCTCATCTTCTCCCCACACCTCGTCAAAGACTATGTCACGCAAATCTAAATCTCCAGGTGTCATTTTGACAAGCATCAATCCCTCTCCCTTCCGCATCTCCTTCCGCGAACGCATTGTGCTCAGCGTCGTTTCGTCTTTTTCATATAACGCTGACATCGCTCCGGAAGGTAGAGGCGCAGAAGAGGGTAATGAAGGAGGTACCGTGTATCGAGCGAACCGCCCCGAACTCCAATCTCGTAGAATAATGCGCGCGGCGCCTGCATGGTCAAGCAAACCCCTCTGTATACGATCGATTATTAGTTATGTATTGATCGAGAAATACAAATATCACGCACCTTTTTTACAAGTCCATTCACCCTCGCTAGTCCAGCCAAGAAAGCTGTAGCGTCCCCGTTCGTAAACGCAGGAAGACTATATGCGAGCATCAAGTCCTGGGTATCTGCTCTCGACACAACGTGGTTTACTGCATATATCAAACACAGTGAGGTGAGGCAAATCGAAAAAAGGAACAAGTAACGCACCAGCGAACAGAGGATCCTTCAACTTTTCGATTTTACCCCGGTTGCGAAGGAGGATATCCCGTGCTCTGGCTTCCTGTCTTTTTTCCTTCTCCTTATTCTCCTCTTCTTCCGTACCTTCCACACCCCCTTCGTCATCTTCCTGCACATCCCTCACAAATTCGACACCAGGTGTATCCACTACCCGTACCTTCCCCGCTCCCCCCGGTAGGTCAAGGACAACTTCCACAGAATTTGTCGTCGTGTACGGTTTTGTGCGCTCATTTTTGCCTTTCGCGTCCGTCGTTATTGAAGGAGTGTAGATACTAGAAACACGATGGCAAGCAAGGGAATTGATAAGGGCTGATTTTCCTGACTGATCAATGGTGCAAAGGTGAGCGGTAAGAATAAGAAAACACGAAAAAATACAAGAGGCACGCACATTTGTCACACCAACAATAGCTACCACCATTTCCTTCCCTTCCACTGCTTTATCCTTCTTCAACCTCGCCGCCTTCTCTTGTAAAAACGTCCATATCGCGTCGGTACCCAGTGCATCACTCACTTTTGGCTCGGGGACAGTTTTCGCTTTCACAGCACTCGCCGCGGCTGACGGAGAAACAGGTAAGAATGCCGAGGCAGCACGGAAAGGCAATGTCGCCTCTACGCCGACAGGAGGTGAAGATCTGAAGTGTTGGAGCCAAGAATCGACCGACTCGCGTGGGACGGCATCAATCTTGTTCAGAATCAAAAGTACGTTCTTGCCTTCCACTTTACTCTGCTTATCACCTTTAGCCTTCTTCTTGCTTTTAGTCTTCACTTCAGCCTCACTCTCCCCTTCGCTTTTACTTTTCCCTTTCATAGCTCCCATGACACTAGTACACACGCCTGCAGCAGGATCTCTAACATCTACGACGTGCAGCACCACATCTGCAGCATCCAACACTTCGCGAAGCGTCGGAGGGCCGGGAATGGTCGGAATTACAGGCAGCGTTGGTGCAACTACTGTCGATACTTTTGTTACTGCATTTACAGCGTTGGACGTGGATGGGCCGGGTTCGATCGACACGATTCCATCAAATCCTTTGCCATCCAATCCTTCCCCATCCAATCCTTTCCCATGCTTCGTTGACTGAAATAGTATGATTGACCCGATAAACGAAAAATGACCCTAAGATAAGTGAGATGGACTCACGCCTCGACGCTGTTCAGCAATCTCAGCAAGAATTTGTTCCTTGTACGGGAAGTTATTAGGGATACCAGGGTCCTTTTTTGACTTTTTGTTGGGCACTACATTGGACGAGTGAGTTGTGAGTTTTTAGATGGGAAAAGAAAAGGAAGGGGCGTGTATGGTAGACGTATTGGAAAAAATCGAAAAAAAAAGTATCAAGAATATCCTAGAAAGTTAGCCACTTACATGGCTTGCCTGAAGCTTTGGCTTGTCTTTCCGCCTTCTTCTGTTTCTTTCTGCTTTCAGCAGCCTTATGCTTGATTTTTTCGCGCTGATTGGTTGTCCCGCGCTTGCTCGTTTCTATCCGTACATATCAAACGGAAAATACGTGAATTTGAGGACAAGTGCAATCGTGAGGAAGAAAAGGTGTGACTAGAGTAAGCAAATAGAGATAAGACCTCGAAGTTATTAGAGACAAACTTTTGCGAATACGAGGCATACTTGAACCGCTGGATTTATGAGCTTTCTATGACGGGACGCGTTGGATAAAAATCGAAAACGCGCAAATCATGTCAAGAACTATTTCGCACCAAGAAGTTTTCTCTAGCAGATCATGTGATCCGCAGCGCGACTTAGTATCTCAGCCGCCTTCACTGATTGTCAGTGGTGTATGACGCTCCGTTTGCACTTTTATTCAAAGTGCGACAGCGAGAAATTTTCGGTGCGAAATATGGTGGACTGCGCGAAAAACAGATGAAAATTCGCGCGAGATGGGGAGCTGCGCGAACAAGAAGACCCACGCGAAATGACGCCCGGTCAAGCCACTCTAGCTAGAATCTACTTCTACCTTGTACTTGAAACTATCTAGGTAAACATGAACCTTTTGAAGTCATTTTTGGCCGGTTTTTACTTGAGGGGAAAAGCTCAACATCAGAAGCTATTAGACAGTAAATGAGAAGAAAAGACCGGATATACTTTGAGAAATGTAGTATTATAAAAGAGTGTAAGTCGATAAGAAAGGAATGAACAATGTAGCCAAAAGTACAGAAAACAATTGCTTGAACAACAACAGCTCATGA